TTATTTCTCTGAAAACAAAATCAATTCTGTTAAATTAAATACTCCCATATTATGCAATCACTTTATTGTTTTCCCTGATTAATAAACATCTCTGAAAATGTCACTTACCTGCTTCTTCCACTAATCTCTTCCTTTATCATCTAACATCTGGAGAGAACTATATAAAGTAGTCACTAAATATTAATATGTAAAAATTTTAGAATAGTAGATAAAACATAGGTGGCATTGGTGAGTCGCCTTTAGAGTGTAAAAGGTTAAAAACAGTGGATGAAGTTGTAGGTCTATTGATTTGATTGGTAAGTTACCCTGCGTTATCTGCGTGATCAGAAAAATAAATCCTTCTAATAAAATTTCTAAACAGTTGTTTGAAAAATCACTACTTTACTTTTCTAATTTAATATTCTGAGAACAGGAATAATTTTTCTTAGAATTTCTTAAAAAGCAAAGAGGTCTTTAGAGAACTATGTTTCCGAATGTTTTTAGAAGTTTTGCTACTTCTTTTTTAGTTTTCTGAGGTCAGCTTAACCCTAGACACTAAAAGTGGCCTGTATATGAAAAACATCTACAGGAAAAAATTGATAGTAAATATCTGTTCGTGTCGCCAAGTGGATATTTCATACTGTTACCTACCACTTTAGCTTTACAAAAGCAACTCACGTGAGAAAGTTAGAAACAGAGTCTATCTCAGTACACTGCAATGAATCTGCGTTAACTGATTCGCTTGTGAGGATTTTGTTTAATTTTATAACAGTCATTGAACTACCGACCCATTTTGGGTTTACGACTACTAATTTTCAGCTCCGTAGTCTTTTAAATCTGAACACAATCCAGAAGACAAGTGAAATCCCCGATCAGGTATTTGGAGAAATGTTGCCTTTGTGGAGGATTTTTTCTTGGAAATAACCAGCATTTGCGTTACATGGAAAGGTAAACCACAAAAACCTCCCACGGCTAGTCTGAGAGCAAAGGGTCCGTAACCCATGATCTTTCTACCATTGAAGATATTTTTCGTCAGCACTGTGGTCAGTGTGAGTCGGGTGCGGAATTCGTTTCGACCAGTCATAGCTGGGATTCGAACCCGGTTCACCTCATTGGAAGGTGAACACTCTTTCCCCTGAGCCACCACAGCTCATTTGTAATGGTTTGTCGATAATGGTAAAATATGTGAAGTACGTTGGAAGGGAGAGGGGGAACCAAAGGGGAAAGTAAAGTTAAATAACAAGTGATAGTCTTTTGATGAATTCAATTTAAGAATACGAAATGATAAATTAAAAATTTTTTTCTCCATTGGCCACCTGGAGAATGACCTTTTGTCATACAGGCATCTGAAGGGCAGATTTGATGGCCAGTCTTTCAGGGGCACCATATTAGGTGGGCCAACATTGCTCCCACAGTAAGGACAGATAGTACAGAGAATGAAAGAACATCCATGCCTTGCCCGGGACTCGAACCCAGAACCTTTCTGATGTGAGGCCAGTTCCCTAACCCCTACACGAGCCGGTCGGCAGATAAATTACAATAATAATAAACAATTTCAATACACGATAAGAACAAGTTGAGATTAATACAAGATTATATATACAAAATAAATCGAGATTAATATTTACAATGCATATGTTCACACAACTGAAAGCGTAAGATCAAAATTGAATTATCAAATGAAACGCAGTAATAGTCAAAAGACAAGTTATAAGTCAACAGACTCTGTTAAAGTGGTGACCCAAGCTGGTAAATACCACTCGTTTCTGGGATGCTCATCACACTAAAAATTACCAATTAATCAAACCAACGGGTGCAACCCTAAAAGGGTTGCTCGCCTACCGCGGTGCGGATAAATTTTATTTTATTTTGTGACCATCGTTAAGCAGCCGACCCAAATTTGAGTTTACAACTTCCAATGTTCGATTCCGTAGCTTCGTAATTTTGAGTCCAATCCACAAGACAAGAGAACTGAACTCATGGATAAGTACCCCCAGGGGTATTGATTTGTAATGGAAATTTTGAGGACTTTGTGACCTCGACAGATTTAATGTGCCTCTATCACCACTTAATACATTCTTCTCCCGGCAGGATTCAAACTCCCTTTCTCACGAACACGAGTCCAACGCCTTACAAACCAGGCTATCCCGGCCGGTGCCGATTAATTTTATTTTATTTTATTTAATAACCGTCATTGAACAGTCGACACAATTTATGGGTTGACGGCTACTTATATTCAACTCCGTGACCTTGAAATTTTGAACCCAATCCAGAAGACAAGGGAACTCCTGGATCAAGCATTAGGAGAAATTTGTCTTCATGGCGAAGAAATTTGCATTGATGGAACTAACTCGCATTTGCGTTACATAGAGAGGAAAACCACGAAAGCAACCCATGGTATGACTGACGGCAAGGGGACTCTAACCCATGATCCATCCACCACTGAGGATATTTTACGTCATCACTGTGGCTGATACAAGGTGGCCGGGTATAGAATTCGTATGGACCAGCTATCGCTGGGATTCGAACCCTGTTCACCTCATTGGATAGCGAGCTCCCTATCCCTTGAACTACCGCGGCATGTGCCGCGGTAGTTCAGATTATATTTTACAACCGATGCCGATTATATTTTACAACCGTCATTGAACAGCAGAAGCAATTTTATGGGTTTACGACCACTAATGTTCAACTCCGTAGCCTCTTGTAATTTTGAACCCAATCCAGAAGACAAGGGAACTCTTGGATCGAGGATTGGGAGAAATTTGCCTTCCTGGCGGACTTTTTGATGGAGCTAACCCGCATTTGTATTACATGGAGATGAAGATCACGAGAGCCTCCCGCGGATAGCCTGACAGCAAGGAGACTCTAGCCCATGATCCGTCTACCACTTAGGATATTTCACGTCAGTACTGTGGTCGGTGCAAGTCGGATGTGGAATTCGTTTCGACTGGGGTTCGAACCCAGTTCACCTCATTAGAATGCGAACGCTCTATCCCCTGAGACATCGCGGCTCGTGCTGATTAATTGCTAGGGTGTAACTATGTATGTTAATTAAAGAATAAACGAAAATAATAAGTTGTGGTGAATATAGAGGAAAATGGGGCAACGCCATATCTAAACTAAACTCAGTAGGGCGACAGCCCACAGAGGACCAAGGCCTACTGCGCCCATCTCAATTTTCTTGACCTTGGGCTCTGGGATGCAGGAGCAGATGTTCCTGTCAGGTGGTCAGCCGAACGCGAAACCCGCAGTGTTTTGCTCCCAAGCATGCTTGCTACTCAACGCCATATCACCTGAGAAAAAAATGCCTCAATAAGCAACACTCGTTTACTGAAAACCCAAATATAAATATTTATATTTCAAATAAATTGTGTTAGACCAAACGAAAAATTGCCTCTTCGAAATAATTTTAAGAATAGCATTCCTGAACTACTACCTTTTCTTCTATGAAAAAAAGGACCGTCCTTTTGAAAAGACGATTTGCTCAAATATAAACTTTAAAGAAAAGCAAAATAAATTCTTTTATTTTACGAAATTTCAAAAATTCAGCAAGATTTAACAGCTCGATTTGATCCTTAAGACTCCTTATTTTCTAATGCAAAAAAAATTTATTTTGTAATTTTTATTGCGCACATAAGCAGGCTTCTGTAAGCCTTTACCAAGTAAACAAATAGCATAAGTTAGAGAAGGACATCACAAAGTTACATCCAGCGGTACGGCGGGTTACGAAACAGCTACCTAGCTTTAAAAGGTTATCAGATTTTAATAGTACTCTCGTGCACGATGTCTTATATTAGCTCGGTAACTTTGCGAATTGATTGATTGATTTGTTCATTTACGTCGCACTAGAGTTTCACAATGGGCTATTGGCGACGGTCTGGGAAACATCCCTGAGGATGATCCGAAGACATGCCATCACAATTTTGATCCTCTGCAGAGGGGATGGCACCCCCGCCTCGGTAGCCCGACGACCTGCACGCGGAGTCGAGCACTTTACGGTAGAACAGTTTAACGAGGACCAATACCGCACACCCTCGGTTCCTACGCAGATTGATCCAAGTGGTGACCCACCCGCACACTGACCGCAGTCAGTGATGCTTGACTTCGGTGATCTGCTGGGAACCGTGTCTTAACGATCAGTTCACTGCGGGACATCATAAGCCTGGGAGTATCTGTGTGCTGTCTTCTCTCATATACTATCTCACTATCTGTTCTTCAATTTAATTTTGAGTCCAAATTAAACAGTTCTACTGTTGACTTCGCGCGCTACAACGTCGGGCTACCAAAGCGGGGAGCTATGCTCTCTGCAGAGGATCAAAAATGCGATGGTATGTGTTCGGATCTTCTTCAGAGATATTTCCTTACCGTCGCCAATAGCCCATTATGCAGCTCTACTATTTGGGCCATTAGAGGACACGTAATTCACCGTCATTTCGCTGCGTCCAACGACATCCGTGGTTTTCTTGAAGTGCAGAGTTTTCGCTCTGACTTTGGTACGAACCAGTGACTTTATCTATCGCGTTTTTGGTTCTTAGCTGACTATAATTTTTAGAATCAAAACTTGAGTGCTTACAAGAAATCAATTCGATTGGTCCATATCAAATATATTAAATTCAAAAAAGTTGAAAAAGTTTAACAGTATAAAAAAGAAACGGGTTATTCTCAAAAATTAAAAATATTTAGTAGGAACCACTTGCTCTGCATTTTCAGAAGCACATATTCTATCTATAACCGCTGGAAAAACTTAGTTCTTTTCAAATTTCATTTCTCTGTGCTATGTTTTTAGATGTGTGGATTTACTAGTCAAGAGCTAAATCACGCTTTTTAATGTTTTAATTTACTGTTTATGTTATTCAATTTACTTTTTTTTAATAATTCAGCTTAATTCATCTTTTTGTGAGTAAGTATGTTTTATGCTAGCAATAAGTTTCATCTATTTCTTAGACATGTTTTTGTTAAATGTTATTACAGAAGCTTTTAAATTGTACTCTTTCCATCAGAATACATGAGACTTTCATTTTATTGTGTTATGTTACAGGTGAGAAAAATATACATGAAGCTAAGGTTAAATTCAACATTTAAGAGAATTATTAATCACAAAAATTAGTAATTTAATACCTTTTTAGTAAAATGTCTTTAGTTTAACGTTAAACCTAATGAATATTCATAAAGTTGATGTTTTCTGATTTAATCTGTTGAATTTGTTAATTCTTAGCAAAGGAATTGTACCTCATAATGGTTAAGCGTAATGTTAAATATCGAATTTTGGTTTTAATGAAAAATTACTGAACGCAGATGTTGTTGCATATTATATAAGAGCTAGGATGTACCACCATAGTGATACGCCTCATTTTTACATCAAACTATTCCTAAATATTATTTCCAGATAGATACATCGCAAATTTATAGGGTTTTCACTATATCACAGCACAGTACGCAAGCATTTTACTTTCCTAAACAATTTTTAAATTAGTGCTATATTGCTTCCAGCTCTTTATAGTGTAAAATTAAAATTATCTGCCTCATCTATTAGAGGTACTGGTTGTCGTTGCGAGGAACTAGGGTTCGATCTTCAGGGACGGCTTGAAGCCCACTCAGGGTTAGATCGCTGAGTACCAACTTGTCTGCGAAGTAGGGGTGGTCTGTGAGAGATGCTGAACACATTGCCCCATTGGTTATGAAATTGTGACGCCTTTCTTTTTGTTCAACAGCACATTAAAAAAATATTTTTAGACAAGAATGTGAACTGTTTAGTCAAGAATTTTTTTTTCAGTATTAATCCTGATTGTTTGTTTGTGTTTAAGTTTAGAAATACAGCTTGATTGTACTTTGTGTTTTAATCTGAACAAATACCGTATTTTAAACAACAATATTTCAATTTTTAAACTGTACAAAATGTGTACTTCAAGTTTATGCAGATGTAATCGGGGGAAATGTAAAAACAAATTTAACTTAATTGCATCGTACATGCTTGTAATTTTTTTTCTTTTTTTTTTTTTTTGCTATTTGTTTCACATTTTAACCTCACTAATCAAACCATCACGTAACATGGAATGAAATTCATGGTGTATATTCAGTTTCAAAATAATTAAATACAAGTACTTATGGTCTTTCCCAAATTCTAAGTTTCCACCTCAAAATTTGGTATCTAATATAGTTTATAAGCAGGCATTCGATTTTTTTCACCCATTCTACAATTAAATATGGGTTTTCTTCATTTTATTCCTACCGTTTTTTGTTTTCTTTTTAAGAAAATATTTTTTACATCCTTGTCTGGTGCTGTAAATCCCCATCAAGCTCTTCCGCCATTAAAGCTGTTTTACAATGCTCTGTTAAATCGAGAAATAATGCTTTTTTAGCAAATATGGTATTTTTATGTATTTTGTGAGCTTGTAACGCTTATTCCTGTAAATTAGAGTTCTGTCTACATTTATTATCAACCTCTATTCTAATTTTGAAAATATCGCAAAACTACCATGTGATGAAAAACTACAGTTGAGTTAAGCGAAAATGAGAATCATTTTGTGATCTAATTTTCAATAATTAAAAATCTGGACTAAAAAAATGCGAATTATTTATTTTAATAATTTTAATCAAAGTGGAAAAATCTTGCCTTGCGTGGCTTTCAAAAAAATTTAAGACTTTAAAATACGTTATCAGTTAGTCCTTTCTAAAGCCCAAATATTTATTTAGGACAAAATGGTAGTTATATAAGTGTTGCCTCGAGTCTATAACTTATAATCTGTGACTTATTACCCTTATGGAAAGAGTTACAAGAAATCCTCTTTAGATTTACTGTTAATAAAATCTTTGTATTTGAATTATAGTTAAGGTATTGTTTAATAGTGTACTTTGACGGAGTATCTTAGCCCATCATTTCATGTCATTGCAAATTTGCAACAGATTTCGATGCATCTGCATTGCACTATAAACGAAACAAGCGTCTCGTTCATGATGTTGCACATTTGAATCGAGCCTTCCTGCTTTGAATATATTCGAGTTTTGTCAAGCAGATGGCGTTAAGTCTCAATTAAGAATAGGGCGCAGCTTCGTATTTACAAAAATGGTTAAAAAAAAATTTTAGAATGAACATATCATTTTACTCCGTTTTTTAAACTTTGACATTTGTTCTTTTTTAAAAAAATTAATGAATCAAAAGAAATTCCCAATATGATATCGCCCATTTGTATAAATCACTTGGTAAATTTTCTCAAAATTTTTGAGACTTTGTTTTTAAGGCATTGTTTGTAAGCCTTAAGAACTTTTTTAAAGACTTTTAAAGTTCACGGTTGTTTTTACAAGATTACCACGGTTGCTATAAATTTATAATAGTGTTTTTAAATTTACGTTTTAGGAATTAAGAGTTTTCAAACTCACTTTATCGTTTTGAGTTCTGAATACGAAGACAACCCCTGAAAAGCTACATTTATAATTTACCTACAAACCCCGATTTCCGGGGCTTTGTCCATTATTATGTTTAGTACTTAAGTAAGAAAATTTCCTCCTTTAGTTGTTAAATTTGGGTTGAAAACTGAAAAGGCACGTTTTCAGCTGCGTCCGTATTTTAAAACCCATCGAGATACTTTGCAACTACAATATTTATGCTTTAAATGTTTTCTATTTCATTGTACCTAAACACAAACATAATTCAACTTTATTTTTCAACATTGTCTTGCAATCCAATTTTTTTTTAATAAATTTAATTTTTTTTAGATGTTTTCGCCCTGAAAGCACAATGTACCTACTAATAAAAAAGGTTTTATTGCTCACAATCTTAGCATATTTGAAGATTGCCATTATACTAGCTAACAGCATGCATTCTACTTTCCTTTGCATTTGTAAAGTAATTGCAGATATATTTCAATTGCCAGCATCACATTTACTGAATGTTTCACCTACTAGGAACAGTGATACTCAAAACATTTCGCATAGAAGTAGTCCTAAAGTTTCTACATTCGTTCAAACTGAGGAGCAATCGAAACAACTTGAAAACGCCGGTTCTAAATCTAGTACAGATGTAATTATTTACAATTTGAGCTCTACTCAGAAACTCGTTATAACTCAAGGAAATTGCAAAAGTAACAAATGCGAAAATTGTAAATTTGCTACTGAAATCACAACATACGAGAAAGTTGAAAATGTTACGGCACCATCTGTTGGTTTTGACGGTTCAAATATTAGTTACATGTCAATAGAAAGTGATGTAGTAGATTCAAAAATAGAAAATGGTTGTTATAGCTCCTCGACCAGTTCGTCTACTACAATCAGTGATGGATTTAATAGTCAATTAGTCTGTATCGAAGATTCTGAAGTTAAAACTGCAAACGCTGAAAATGCTAACAATAAAAGAGTATCTTTCGGAAATGTCGATACTTTTTTAAATTCCTGTGATAAGTTAGCTTTAGATCTAGAAGCTTTAGATTTCGAATGTTTAAAAGAAACAGAATCTGATAACACAAGTGTTAAATCTGACGATAAAGCTGCGAATAAACACAAAACATCTAGTCCTTTAAGCAAAGTTTTGCAGAATCATCAGAACGTAAGTACTGATTTAAGTATGTTTAAGGCTGACCAATCTCAAATACCTGAGAATAAAGATTTAGGAACAAGAACTAACTTAGATAACTGGAAAAATGAAGCTTTTGGTACGGATTTTAAACGACGATTGTCCTTGCCAGTAAAGCTGAATACAACCAATTCTGCTGTTATGAATTTCAAACTAGCTCAAAAGATGTTAATTGAAGATGCCCTAAAAAATACTTCCAGACATGAAAAAAGTTTGAAAGAAATAAAATATCCTTTTTCATCAGAAATAAGCTTAGACAGTAAACATAATGATGAAACATACGATAAAGGAGTCTTCAGTTGCAGTTCGTACGAATCCTTGCCAGTATCTGATCACATACGAAATGCTTTTAATAATAGTGCGGTGCTGAGTTTGTACGATGAAACTCTCCACAGCGAAGATAAGCCTGATTTTTCTTGTGTCGATCATTTGGTGGAAGGATTTGAAGAGACTAAAAGCAATCTATCAGTGCTAAACTTAGCTCTAGATAAGATAATCCCTTCTACAACGACAAGAAAGGACGAAAAACATGAAACAAAATTATGTTCGGACATAAATTTAGATTCAAGTGTTACAGAAATGTGTAATGTACTTAATAGATTTGTAACTGGTGAAGTAAAACTTATTCCTGAGAAATTTTCTAATTTTTCCGATAAAAGCTTATTAACAAATGGTAAAGACATATTACAAGCAGGTGTTAATTTTGAAAATAATGAACAATTTGGGATAAATGATTGTGAAGTAAGACGCTCCTCCACAAAAGAATACAATTCTTTTGATAATTCTTTAAGGAAACAGAGAAATGAAGAAATTAACAAGAAATCAGAAGAAATTGACATAGGTGAACCCATAGTCAATGAAATTAAATGCACGTCTTCAAGTTCATTAAAATCTGTGTATTTAGATGTAGATGAAGCGACTGATGTTGAAAATGCATTACTAACTCTGAAATACGAATCTGAAACAAATAAATCTGATAGCTGTGAAAATTTACAAAAAGTATGGCAACAATCTTATCATAAAATAGCATTCATTGATGAAAGCCCGCCCCATGAAACTAGTCATACAAACCAAAATATTTCAGAGACTAATTGCAAAGATCGTTCTTTTAACAAAGATGAAAAACACACACCGATAGAGGTAGACTTTGGAGATGAAACAAACAAATTTGCTAATAACTTACTTTCAATCCAGCAACGATGGTTTAAAAGTTTTGGAGAATTTACCGAAACCGATAAAAATGAGCCAAATGAAATAGCCTGTATGTCTTCGAGTCCAAATGGAAAGCATGCTGATCCAGTCGAATGGACGGGTGCTTGTGAAAACACTGTATTTAGTTTGAAAAACAAAGTGGGAACAAATAAACCTGCGAACAGTGTAAAGCAACAGTATAAAGCATTCACTGATGAAATCCCCCTATACGAATTGAATCACGCCGATCAAAATACTTTGGAGACAAATTGTCAAGAACAGCAATCTACGCTCTTTGAGGAAAATTCATCTTCTGGAGATTCAACTTCTGATAATTCTGTGGTTACAGTGAAAGACCTAAATGTTGCAGAAAATTAAGGTAATATTTAGGATATTTCAATTTTTATGTAATCTTTATTATATTATCTTAATTATAATCCTAATTATGCTTTACATTTTCAGGAAAACAACAACAATCGAGAATGTCTATCAAAATTAGTCAAAAACTATGAACTGTGATGTATGAATTATACAAATTGCATATAAATTTTGTGACTTTATTGTTTTTTACGTTATATCGACGAATTAATGTAACTGTATGAACATTGTTTTGAATTTAATTAATGAGACATAACTATAAATAACTTTATTTGTAGTTTGAATAAAAAAAAATTTAAAGTGTTAACTGAATTTAGCTTATTTTTATGTTAGATTTTAATGACATCCATTTCATTGACGTTAAGTTTAATGACAAGTCTTGTATGCAGAAATTCTACTTAAAGTTGTGGTAACATAGAAAATAAAAAATTAAATCGCATTATACTCATATATAATAATCAGCGAAGTTCCGTACATTGTGTCAATTGTCTGTAACCATTTGAATATTGCTCAAAGTGTTAAATGTTGATGACAGCAACGTTGTAATCTATTGCTCGGAGGACAGTCCTATCCTTGTTTGCCATAGTAGGATCCTTTTTACTTAGAAATGATGTTTAATTCTGAAAGATTCGTATGCCAAAACCTTCCTAAGACATCGTCTTAGTGCATAGATTAAATTATGCGAAATTGATATCTTCAAACTGTTTTATTTTCGATGAAATGTTTGCCTCTGATTTTGTTCATCTTTGAAGCGACGAAGGATGTTCAAATGGTTCTATTAAGTAACGAGATCTGCTGTTTGTGTGTGTGAGACACAAACACGCTTCAAAGGCTGTGTTAGTTTATATAATAACAGTATAATTTAAATTTCTAAGGACAAAAATATTAAAAGAAATTTAATATATTATAAGCCAATATAATTATATGCCACATTTTCAAATTATTCCAAGTACCATTTTGATTTAACAGATTCCCTTATAGGCAATAAGATGTTTCTGTGCATTATGCTGTTAAACAGTAGTACTTTCAAAAAATTGTAAAGTACTTATCTGGAAAAAAAATGCTAAGGAACAGTGAAAATGCTCTTCTGTATAAGTATGGCTAATCGCTATATTGCCCTAAGTTCTTTCCATTCGGAATAAGTTATATTTATTAAAAGAAAATTCATTTCTAATATTTGGATTAACTAAAACTTATTACAGCAGTCGCAATTATTCTCTGAACTTCACACATCAGGGGGAAAAATGTATGTCTGCAGAAAAAGTACTTTTTTGAATGCTTTTTTATTTTTAACTTTGATTTTAAATCGATGATTCATGAAAATTTTCTTCATTTTATATTTTATTTTAACTATCGTTAAACAGCCGACCCAGCTCCGCCTTTACAACTATCAATGAACCGGAGCCTTGTAATTTCGAACCCAACCCAGAAGACAGGGTAACTCCTCGATCAAGCAGTGTTAGAACTAACCTTCGTGAAGGACTTTTTGCTATAACTAACCCTTATTTACTTTACGTGGACGGAAAAACCAAGAAAACCTCTCACGGTAATTTTGTGTAGCATTAAATGTTGTAAAATCAACAGAAAAATTATTTCAGAAAATTTTTTTTTAGACCTTTTGAAAAAAAATCATTAAAACCCGTTAAAAAAAATTCTAAAGTATGTAACTAATTAATAAATTTTACTACCATAATATTTGATTAATGCAAATCTAAACTACAAATAATTTAACAAACTCTTTTCTTGTCAATAACGAAAACCTCTTTTAAGATGCATTAAAAAAAATTAGAAAAAAGTTACATTAATAACCAATTGATCGATATACGTACGCTGTCCTTAAAATAAAAAATACTTCCCGAGAGCTTATGATGCATCCCTGAAAAAAGACCTTACTCAGAGCTGCAAACGATTATGTATTCTCCACAATATTTTATTTATATAAAGTGGTAATAATCATTTGTAATTTTAAATGATTTTGATCACCACGACATTAAATAAATTAATCGTGAATATGAATACAAATTATTCAAATTATCGTATCTTTAAGCAAGCTTTGACAAATTAATAAAGTTATTTTTACCTATTCCAATTATATCGTCACTACCACTAAGCAATTATCCTCGGAAAGAATCGAAATTGGCATTTATGGTATACAGTACTGGTTAAATTACTATAATAATTAGTTTTTTTTTTTTAATTCTCTAGTATCAAGTTTGCAATGATGTTTAATAGGAAATACTTTTATCTTGAATAATTTCTGACAACTTCAAGAACATGTTTAGAAAATATCTAAGTTTTATTACAAAACCAGAATTTTACTACAGTGTTTGTACCTTATTTTGACAAAACTGAATACGGTTTATTAAATATATTTCTTTGAAAAATAAAGGAAAATTACTGGGGATTTTCCATTTCACTAACTATAAGTGTGTGCATAGTGCTCCATTAAAAAAAAAAAAAAAAAAAAAAAAGACAAATTTTGAATAACTTTTGATCTAATGATCGGTTCTTCACGTTCTAGGATTCATTTTTAATGGTTCAGCCTCAAATAAACTAATTAGAGCAGACCCGATATTTTAAGTTACGAAATCAGACACAAAAAAATACTTTCTCTGAATAGATATAGCATTTCTTCAACGGATTCAAGTTTCGGAGAAATATGGTCCCCATAGCTTGACCCACTTAATGTTAATTTTACTTTTTGCCAATTTCACCATATCTCGAGAACTTAAGCGATTTGAAAATTTTTGTGCACACCATTAGAAAATTCGCTTTCTTAAAGATAATTACATGCAAAAAATAAATTTTATTAAATATTTATTGTTTTATTTAATAATAGTCGAAAATTTTTAAATTGCAAAGTATGCAACTTTTTACATCATTTTCAAGCATGTACTTGGAAAAATACAAAATTTGAGCGAATTCGGTAGAATAGTTTCCGAGAAATTGAATTTTAAAAAAGTCTTATACATAAAATTCACTTTCTTAGGAACTATTCAACCGTTTCGCTCAAATTTTGTATTTTACCATGTAAAATTAAATACCTTAAAATTATGTAAATAAATAATATACCTTACAATTAAAGTAACTAGCATATTTGAGGTCACCCGCTCGAACCATTAAGAATGAATCCTAGAAAGCGAAGGTTCAATCATTAGACCAAAAGTTATTCAAGATGGTCTGCTTTCTGTTTTGTGCACTGTATATATTTAAAATGTATTGAATCTGTCAAATCAAAGCAACCTTAATCCAGACAACAAGGGACCTTAAGACTAAAACTCTTATAACATGTAATTGTCAATAACATGTTCAAAGTAATGGTTACTTGTTTTTACCTTAAGGTGCGCTGAAGCTACAATTGTATCAATAAGAATGCAACTTCTTAAGTCTTTCATACTAAATGAATTTCATTTTACCTTGCAATATTAAAAATGTTAGAGGCTCTGAACTTTTTACGTTTTTACTCCTTATTTTTTACGTAATTCTCTAAGGACTTTTAAATTATTTCTTTCATCACTACACAGATAAACACAGTCTAGTCACATTCATGTGATCATCAGTTAAAAGCTATAATAACCATCTCTTCAAAAGCGGACGCTGCGAGATTGGCAGGAAGTAATTCAGTTAGGTTCCTGAAGATGTTCTCTGGGATATTAAGTCACGACGACTTCAGTACTATGGTCTGCTTTATTTTTACGTAATTCTCTAAGGACTTTTAAATTATTTCGTTCATCAATACACAGATAAACACAGTCTAGTCACATTCATGGGATCATCAGTTAAAAGCTAGAATAACCATCTCTCCAAAAGCGGACGCTGCGAGACTGGCAGGAAGTAATTCAGTTAGGTTCTTGAAGATGTTCTCTGGGATATTAAGCCACGACGACTTCAGTGCTATGGTCTGCTTTATGTTACGTGGTTGAAAAATCCATGACACGAGCAATCCAAAGAGGTGGTTCCACAGATTTTTAACTGGATTTAAATCTGGGTAGTTTGATGGCCAGTGGAAAACTGTAAACTCCTCTTGTTGCTCTTTGAACGATGCAAGCTTTATCACACGTCGCATTGTCCTGCTTGGAGATGCCATTATCATGAGGGAAAACAATTCCATTTAGAGGTGAGCATGGTCAGCCAGGACTCCTTCAATGATGAGAGCATCTAGAAAATGCTTCCTTCTCCAGCAATTGTTGCATGGTATTTGCTTTCAGACTTACACACCAACTTCCACCTGTCCGATGCAGCATAAAACTTAATTGTTTGGAAAAAGCCGCCTGTGGCAACTCGGTGGGTGTCCAAATGCAGTACTGGCATGCAAATTTCAGCCTTCGCCGTCCATGAACAACAGACAGAATACTCGTTCGAATGCATCTTGGCAGCCGTCATTCACCTCTGTCATCTATTGCTTGTGGTGTACCACATTTGTCACAGCACTGATTTTGGTTAGTGTCATTTTGCCATGCACGGTATACTTTACCATGACAGCAAGCGAATAATTAACGAAGTTCCTTCGCGAACAGCTAAAATAATGCTTCCACTCTAGGCCCGAAGGCCAATGATACCTTAAGGATAAATCGCTCCGTTTCTGCATTATGCCAACTACTGCAATGTTTTCAGATTCCCTTCAGACATCCTTCTGCTATTGATTATTTCACGTTGACGCCGAAAGTAGGTGGTGATCACATTGATATGACTGCATATGTATGCACCTTTTTTCCTATATCTAGATATTTAAGAGTTAGCATTCAAAAAAACAAAATCAAAAAAACATTGCCAAATGTAAATAAACTTAGCTTGCATCCAATACTATAATTTTATTAAGTTTTGAAAAGCAATGATTGTTAAAATCGTTAAAAAAAAATAAACGATTGTTTGATAAAAATGGACTTATTCCGCTTTTAAAAATAACGGCTCATGTCACATTTTCATTTCCCACTGGTTTTCCATAACAGTAATAAAGCAGGATAGACTGCTGTTTTTTCATTATTATTTTTACAAAAATAGATCTATTATGGCTGATCTGCTATAGATTTGATCCCTTGTTCTCTATGTAGAAATACAATTATATTAAAAAGAATGAGATTAAAGAAAATAGTACTTTAAGCAAACACATTTAATTGGAGCTTGAGATTATATTATAAAAAAATCTTTTTAATAATGTAGTCACAACTTGTAGAAAAGTAATAAATATTAAAGAAAGAGACGGAAAATGGACACAAAAGCAAGAAATACATTTATTGCACAGCTAATAAAAAACATTACACAGAATAAAACATAAATGAGACACAAAAACATATTGTCTCGCATAAAACTTCAAATTAGAATTAAAATGAAAAGTAGTTATGGCTATCAAGTACACAATATAGAACATAATATTTTCCAACATTTAAGTTTACAATATTTCACAATAGAATAGAAAAATGTAAACTTATTAATCCTGTAACTGCTAAATAACTAGGAAAAATAAAGGAAACATAGCCCAGCCAGGCAAAATTATTTTACTGAATAATAAAAAAAAAGCTGGCTTTCTGTGCAAAAAATGGGTTTGAAATTTATCAACCATATTTATCTAGAACATTGTTTCTCAACAGCCAGTCCCCAAACACTATTCACAAATCCACAATCTTATTACAGCAGAAGGAGAATTTATTAAACTGTTTTTAGTATTAAGATTAAAATTACAATTCAATTCAACGAACACATTTCAGTTCTGTATAAAAATTAGAAAAGTATATCCCCATCTTTAAGAAATAGCAATTAAGATTTTATTGCCGTTTTCTTCACCTTATTTATAGAGAACTACATCTTCGATAATGAGTTTTATTAAAACAAAATATTTGAATCAACTTAAACTGGCCTCTTCATTACATATTGATCTATTTGGTTTGACATCTAGAATCGATATGTTAGTTAGCAACTAATTTTTTTTAATGTTTATTATTTCCCTTTAATTTATTTCATATTTACTTGCATTCCTTAGCTACCTACATGTGGTTACACAATTGGTTAATCCGTGATAAAACAGTAAGATATTAAACCGATCCTTGATCCTTTGAGTATTTCTGGTTGAGAAACACTGATCTTTACAATATTAAAGAACAATAGTTACAGGATTAAACTTTTACTGCACAGTAAATAAAAGTTGTGGTACACAGAAGAATATACACAACATAATAGATGCACTGTGATGACCACCCTTCATATATAATTGATTTCTTGTAAATATTGCATAAAATATGCAAGTTAGAAGCAACAAATCAATATGTAAATGAGAAAAATATTTACACGCTATAGCCAATCATTATTAAGGTTGATAAAAGGAGAGAAAGATTTAAAATCAACTAAGATCAGCTATTTCTCAAACAAAAACAGGAATGTTATTTTTTGACTCTCTTTATAGTTTTCTAAAATAAACTGGTTTCAGATTATTTTACTCTCTTCTTATTCTCCACTTTCAATCTCTCTTTTGATATGTGACTACCAATAAACAGGACAAAAAAAAACAACCCTGAATAACTCTTGATCTAATAAGGGAATTTTAATGTACTAAGACTCAATCTTAATACTTTGAGGAGGTAACCTCAAATACGCCATTTAATTAGTGCAGACAATAATTTAAGTTATGAAACAATGCACAAAAATGTACTAGGAATGAACATACATAAACATACTAATGAATAAACATACCCTTTTTTACGATGGATTTGGATTCCTGGCCCTCAAACATGAGTGGTAGCTGTAATCTACAAAATATGGTCTCATATGAGCAGGCAAAAGTCTGGACCAAATAATGTTAGTTCTGCTTTTTGCGTATTTTGCCATATCACAAGAACTTTTTGCACGCAATTACAAAACTTGTTTATCAAAAGATAATTTCAGACAAAAAATTATTTTTAATTATTTATTTTATTTAATAATAGTCGAAGATATTTAAAACTGTAATGCATACAAATTTTAACATATATTTTAAGAATGTACTTCTACATGGTAAAATACTAAATTTGAATGGAATTGATCATATAGTTCCCAAGAAATTGAATTTTAAAAAAGTGACATTTTCAAAATTCAATTTTTCATGAACTATTCAACTGATTTCACTCAAACTTTGCAATTTACTATATAAGATTACATTCTTTAAAATTGTATACAATAAAATTTTTTTTTTTACTATTTTGAAATAAAATAATTATAATATACTTTTTGCATGGAATTCTTTGATAAATGAATTTTATAATTGCATGCAAACATTTTTCAATTGGCTTAAAAGGTTGTGGAGATACAACGTAATATGCAAAAAGTTAAATTATTATTAAGGGGTTCAAACATTCTACAACTCTCCTGACCAAACTATTGGAACCGTATTTTCCACATTGCAATTATTCCATAGATTTTGAGGGACAGAAATCTGTAGAAAATAAGGTATACTTATTCAGAGAAAGTATGTCTATGTGCCTGAATTCATAACTTAAAATATTGTCTGCACTGACTAATTAACATCTTTAAAGTTACCTCCTTAAAACTTAGATTGAGCCCTAGTACATTTAGATCAGTTATACAAGGTGCTCCCCTTTTGGCACACAGTACAGCTTTTCACATTTTTGGCAGGAATTCTTAAAATATATTTATTAAAGGCAATCATTACAGAACATTCTACACATAACAATTTAAACATTGTTTAAACTATAAAATACAAACAATTTGATCACAAAACTATTTCACTGGTCATGCACAATAATTGCAGCATGTTTTTAGTTCTGCACTTTAAAATGTTTAAATCACTGAAATAAATCAGTTCAACATGCATTTATGTCTTGTTTTAAAGAATATAAAATATATTTACAAAAAAATACTAACTTAAAAAATATTTATTTGAATTATAGAGAATGAATTATTTGGAGAAAAACATAGAATATGTTTCATGGAAAAAATGCAAAATGTTGAATTATTCTGTAAAATTTAAGACTAATAACTACACATTTCCCTTTTAAAAAAATGCACAAAAAACATCTATATATAGATAAAAAAAACTAGTACATTTCAAAAATATTGAACCTTTCATTAGAAATGTAAAAGATCTCACATCTTGTTTTTAAATGTAATACCAAGTTAAAGGTTTTTAAGCTTAGTTGGAAGCATGGAATGAAGTAATTATGATAATCAAATTATTTCTGAAGAAATTCACTGCTTATAAATGCAATAATATAACCGAATTATAAATATGAAGCAGTTAAAAAATAAATATTTTTAAGCATTATTTTATATTCATGTATTGAGTAGTGTGGGCTAATTATGAGTGAAATTGCGTAGTTACACACTCTGAATGAACATATTTAAAAATAGATCTGAATGCTTTAGAATAATTTGAAAGAGTAGCAGTGGGTGTAAGACTAAATAAATTGATATCAATCATGAATTTCAATAGATATGAATCGGTAAAATTCAAATTTTTGTAAATACACTTTTAATTAGAATTATTAACTAAATTTCTGAACTCTCTTTGTTATTAAATTGTAACATATTTTCTAAATATACCCTGTCCTATTTTTTTTTAATTACTGCTTTTAAAAAGAATGCTTTAGTATTTTAGTTGAACTCAATAACATGCTTCTGACAGCATTTAACATTATCATAACTGCAACTTTGCATACAAAAATCCAATAATTAGATCAAAAGGTAAAATACATTAAGTTTTTAAAATCATATAATTTTATTAAATAAGAAATGAAAACAATATTTTTAGATTTAAATTCATATAAACACTTGTTATTTTTTAAAGGATTTTTGCTAAGTCCTATGAACTTCTAACTTAACCCCTTGTAATATTTCAGTAAATGTTATACAATATCCAAAATTTTTATTTTTTGCCTCAGTTGAAAAATAATTATGAAGATATTGATAAAGAGGTTTTATTATGGCTAATTAAGCATAAGGGACTGAAAAGAATTGATTTTGCGATTTTTTTAAAATCATTTAACGAATGCTTAATAGACACTTTAATTCAGATCTCTTACGTCTTGATGCATTAACCTTTAAGAAAAATGTAAAAAAAGCTTTTAAAAAAATACCATAAAATAAATTATCAAACAGAGTATAAATAATTCAGAGATTCTATAACTGGCATGCTATAAATAGCATGTATTGTAGATGACTTGTCTCATTAATATTGAGAAATGAAAAAAAAAACTGTTTTAAAAGGATAAGAAACATATTTGATTATTTTACAATACTTTAAAACGTTACTCTAGTTGGAAAGGAAAAAAGGTAAACCACCAAATTTATACACAAACACATAGCTAAAAGGCTAAGAATCAAGTAAATTTCATAAAATGATAAATATTTATGCAAATTTACTTTAAATAAAGGGAATTTCAGGGATTTTTTTTAATATTTTAGTATATAGTGGGATATAAAATATTGAGCGAATATCTAAAAGTTTTAATTTCCAGCAATATTTTCCCTTTACAAGAAACATTAAATGAAAATTTCTGGAATAAAATCTTTTTAAAATGTTCATTGTTTTCTCAAATTCACAGTTTGGAATAGTAAAAGGTATAAAATTCATCTAAAGACAGTTACAAGCTTTAAAAAAAGTAGTACAAGTTATAAACAGTATTACAAATTTTAAACAGTATTACCACTTAAAAAAATGACGTGATAGCAAAAACTAAATATTTTTGCATTTATCAAAGTATAGTAAATTATATAACACAATAAATTACATAATAATATAACAAAGAATTTTTTTTTAATTTAAATTTACTTATGTCATTATTTAGTACCATTATTATTACAGGACGTGCAGTCAGATTTTTCAATAAAAAATATGCACCTTTTAAGTACTTTTTAAGTTATCAAACAATATTTTTAATCAATTTCCAAACGAAAAAATGTAATTAGGCTCTGTGCAATAATAAATTTTTCCCCATTGTTCCTTATTTATAAACGTAAAATCAATAAAATTCAAAAACATTTTCATAAACTTCACATTATCATGATAAAATAACTAGTTTATGATAAATATTGCAGAGAAACTTGTAAAAATCACAAAATATTTTATAATTTAGAATGACAATCGACACAGCAAAGAAAAAATATCTTTAAAGAAAATTAAGCACTTTTTACAAACTCCTAATAAGAAAAGCACCTTTAAGGACTTTTAAAAAATGTAAATAAAAAATAAGCACCTTCAAGCACTTTTTAAAAATGCTACACACCCTGTACTAGCTTAAATTCTCTATCTATAACCCAAGTACAAAAAAATTGTAAGGGATGTTTTAATAAATCAAGCAAAATATTGAAAATCAAGAGCATTCCTAATAAATCAAGAGATTAATTAGATGTTCCAGCAGTTACATAGATGGCAGCTATGTAAGTCTATAACAAGCATCATACATGAAATACTTGAAATGCAAAAATTACACTTATCACATAATAGATATTTATTGATGAGCAAAGTAAAACAGTGAAAATTGAAATCAATAAAAACACATTCTTAAAAGAGGATTATTTCAACAACACAAGAAATGAAGTTTTAAAAATATTAAAACAAGATGCTTAACTTTTGCATTTATATAGCATATCTTTCAACAATTTTGAAATATTAGACATACAAATAAGTACACATCATTATTTCATACATCAAATCAGAATCTTAAAGCATAAAAGTGTTGAGAAATGTTTATTATGTAGTTCAAATGGGAACAATTAATGATTTAAAAGTTAAACTTCTGTGGCTCAATACATTATTTTATAATTATTTGTGATAAATATATCGAGAATACTTTGTTCATTGAAAAGACAAGAAGAATCAAAATATTTTACAAAAATACGTGTATATATATTGACACGTGAATATAGCAAATTGCGTTCCAAGATATTTGAGCTCACAGTATAGTTTCACAAAAAAAAAAAATTTTTTTATCAAAAATTTTTTTTTTAAAACATAAGTGTTTAAAGATGTTAACTTAGGTAGAAATTATTAAAATTTGAATTTATACCGCTACAGAAAAAAAAATTTGCGATCAGACCAAATAATTAACAAAAATTTATTACTTTTGTAGTTTTAAAGTTGTTTTTTTTAAAAAACTAACAATAAAAAAACTTAATTTTTAAAAAGAATGGTCTCAACTTACTTTGAATAGTAAAATTTTTTTTCTTCAAATTTACGAGCAACATCATAACATTCAGCACACGCGAAATACTCAAAATGAAAAAAACTACACACATCGTTAATTGATATTTATTTATGTGCGAAGTAAAACAGTAATAATTTAAAACAATAAAAATAAAAACACATTCTTAAAAGAGTATTATTTTAGCAACACTGGAAATGAAGTTCAAGTATGATAATATAAAACATGATGCTTAACTTTTACATATACATACCACATTTTTTAAAATCATGAAATATTAGACATGCAAATACGAACACATCAATGTTTCAAACACCAAACCAGAATCTCGAAACATAAAACTGTTGAGAAGTTTACAATTCAAATGAAAATAATAATTTAAAAATTTACTCTCTATGGCTATGCACATTAGTTTGTACTTATGATACATAACATAGAGAACAATTTGTTCAACGAAAAAATAAGCAAAATTAAAATACTTTTTTAAAAATCAATGAAGATATACAATGACAAGTATATACTGCAATTTGCGTTCACAAATGATTGAGTTCATAGAATAGTTTCACTTTTGTAATCAAATAAGTTGTTTCAAAACAAAAAAATATTTAAAGATGTTAATTTAAGTAGAAGTAATGAAAATTTCAATTTATCTGTAATGGTGATCAAGTAGAAAATGTCAACAAAAATTATTATACCTTCAAAAGTTCACAGTTTATCGTAACATTGCTAACAGAAATCGGTTGATTGCACGAGTTGATCGTAAATCATAGTACTGATTGTGGTTATATTTGGACTTGAACTCCATCTCTGCAGCTCCTCTAGAAACTTTCTCTGCAAGATAAAAATATTTTAATGTAAAAACAGAAACCAACAATGAAAGCAACACAATGAAAAAATACTGTTATTACGAGAACACGGGTTGTTAAAAACTATTTCATGAATTAAACTAAAACAATAATTTTAAATAAATTTGATATAGTTTAGAAAAACCTAAATAAATATTTTTTCTATTTATAAATTTAAAACTCAGTTTGCTACTTATGAAGTTTAGTTATAAAGTTCAGTTATTAAATTACTCTCATTACTTCAAAATTCATTATTCATTACATTTCTATGCATATTACTAATAAAATATGGTACATAAATAGTATGCATGAACAAAAGGGACTAATTTAAAATACAAATGAATAGTATATATCAATCGCAAAAATGCTTTAACTTTATGTAATGTATAAATAAAGTTAAAACAATAATTAGTTTTATGAGATATTATTTGGTTTTTTATTTGGTTTTATTTATTCTCCACTGAAATCTTAATTTACTTAAAGTCCATTTTACCACATAAAATGTGCTTTAAGTAAATTAATATTAACTTAAAGCCTACGCTACTTAAAAGATAAGTTACTTAAAGCCCATTTTTTCATATTGGTATTCAAAACAATCTCTTCCGTTTACCATATTAAGCAATGAATTAAAATTTAAATGCACTAATTGTTATCATTTTTAAAAGTAAACAGCATTTTTAATCAAAATTGGAACTAGTTTTAGAATTGGCTTTCTTTTTTACATTATTCTTATGCAACTGCTATAGTAGCCAAAAGGTCAAGGGGAAGACGGTAATACACGTTCTTACAGTATGATTTTTAGTTATAAAAAAATAATTAACTTTTATTTATACCTTTTGAGTAATGATAGAAATTCATTTTATTCTTTGCATTTTATTCTGCAATGATATACTACTTTTAAAAGTAAAATTAACAGTAAGGAATTTAAAAATAACATTTAGAAAGTTTGGATATAATAAATTTTTAGTGAGTCAGCACTTGAATGACTACTTCATTAAATTTGAGTTTGCTTGAGGATATCTGAATAATAATCCCTGTTAATTATTACAAATTATTAAGTTCCTAAAAATGATTTAAGTTCAATTTAGTGTATAAACCAGTAAACATATTAATTGCACAGCCCAATTTATAGAAATTCCGTGTGCAACAAAGAAATTTTTTAAAAAAAACTGTTGGTATAAAATTAAACAACTCATTCCAAAACTTCAACTAGGTGAGTAAGTAGGCTAGATACGTAGCTGTAAAATGGTAATATATGTGGGTGGTCATTACAGATGTCATTTACAAACCATTAAATAGATTCAACTTGCTACTGACCATGTGACAGTAGGTATGACAGTAGGTTCTGATCAAAAGTTTTGAAATCAAATTTTTGAACAGTTCTTCACTTTCATTGATACATTAATTTTATAAACTCACATTTCCAATAATGGAAAAAAGTTCTTTCTGTAGATGCATAAAACAAAATCTTATGCCAGTTTGTTGCTGGAAAAAAGAAATGCTATCATTCAACTTTTTGATGTTTTTTTTATAAAAAAAATTTCAAAAAAGCTCTTAATACAAAAACAATTAAAAATATTATAAACAATTTTTCAGCACAATAGCTTTCATTTTTAATAATTTTGGTTGATGGAGTAGTTAACTTCTAATGCATAGAATGAAAATTGCACCCAAGCAAATGTTATGCTCCATTTATTAGATTTAAAGATAAAAAAATCAGTTTTGCATGTTTTTAAGGTAAGTTTTATTAATAAACTCAGACCATTTAAATATTGTATATAATTCCAATCAGTTTTAAGAACAATTCTGAGTTACATTAATGTATATTAATCCTTTATAAGGCTGGGGTAAGTATACTTATCACCAAGTTCATTAAATTTCAACTGCTGTTGGGAAGCTATTTTCTCAACTATGACTTGTGCAGTCATCTGCTGATAACTTCAGAATATACAGAAAATAAATAAATAAAATGAAGGTCAAATATGAGTAACAGTAAAGGTTAGAGTGTAGTTAAGAAGACAGACCAACACTGAAAGCTATTTTCTCTTGTGTGTTATGCGTTCATTCATGTAATCATTTCTCAGAGAGTTTATTTACAGTTATGAGCACGGAATTTATATCCCAAAAGTTTAAGTTTGATGGCCAAGTTTGATGGCCAATTCTTTACAGTACTTCAAATTTTGAAAATTCTATGTGTCCCATCAACAAAAAAAGTCTTAAAAATCAAATTAATGTTAGGTAAAAGAATACAATTTATTTTTCTAAATTAATGTCAATAACATTAAATATTTTAGCATGACATTACTAAAAAAAATGACAAAAAGGAATAAATAATACTAAAATAATAAAGATTCATTAATAAAACCTTCATATTCTTTCTCAGCTTTCTTTGTAGCAGCCACCTCTAAATTGCGTATTTCTTCTCTAAGTTTGGCATTATAATCATCGTATTCTTTAGAATCAGGGTCAAAATCATTACTGCTTCTACGAGCAACCGCTTCTTTAAATTTCTTTACTAATGCACACAACTATAAAAAATAAATATTTGTTAGTAAAATAAGATAAAATATAAATATCTAGAATGTATTCAGACGAGTTACAAATACTAATAGAGTTTATTTTTCTATTTTAAAAAGAGATAAATTTTATTTAATAGTATTAGTTTTAACATAATCCCATATTGCTTTTATTCAGTTAGAAATGCATGGTTCTTAGCAATGACTTTCTGCAAACTGCTCTTTTTTTTAAATTTATAGAATAAATATAAATAGGTGCAGAAAAAAGGCAAGCCTTAATATTTTTGTCACAAATTTTTGAAGTTAAGGCAATATTTTTCAAAGATTGAAGTCTAGAGAAATTCTACTTTCCCATTTTGATTAAAGTTAACTTTCAAATTTCACAAAATATTATTCGGAAAAATTTCAAAGTGAGTACAAACATCTAAAAAAAAAAATTCCTTATTTTCGGACTTATTTTATCAAATTTTCCAGATTTTTATAATAGGTGAAAAAAAATTTATTGTTAGTTTTTCAGTTATAACTTGTTCTTATGCATAGAACATATTACAAAACACTAATGCTTGTTATTAGAAATGTATTAATGTTAAAAAAAATTATTAAAAGACTATTTATTTAGAGAAAGTCTTGAGCTTTAATGTACTGTGCTTAAAATAAAAACAGCCACGAATAACTTGTGATCTAATGATCGAATCTTCACGTTCTAAGACTCATTCCTAATGGCTCAAAGGGGTGACCTCAAATATGCGAATTAATTAGTGCAGACAAAATTTTATCAATCTGGAAAATATGGTTCCCATAGTTTGGTCAGGAGAGGGGTCCAAAGTTTGGATCCCTTAACAGGGTTCCTACACTATTTTGAGAAAACAATATCCCGACTTTTGCAGGTTTTTCCTGATCTTTTACAATAAAATTCCTGACCTGCCATTTCCCACTCCAACAAAACTTTTAACATTGCAGTTTCAATTAGTCATAACATGCTACTTAGTCATAAGTATCATATATTGAATAGGATAAACACTTATATATGAGAGTGGAATTGTGTAACAGCACTTTATATCCCAATTTATATTTTAAGAAAACTTGTGACACATATTTTTAATTATCATGATTAGATTAAACTTTTAGTGTGTTTTTGTAGTTAGATACGAAAATTATTTAAATAAAAGGATTAAGAAAATCTGTTGGATTATAGAAATATTATTTTATTTAATGTTAAATGGAACTAAATGCATGAGTGTCATCAGGATATAGAGGGTTAATCAAATCTGTGAGATATGTATCAGTATCCTCAAATAATATTTACTCTTAAAACATACTAGAACACTTGTTATATTAAGTTATTAATTTTCAAAAATCACCAATTCACTTCAAATGGACGTTTCTTTTAAACGATAATATTGAAATATAAAGGGGAAAAAAGTCAAGAAAAGTTTATTATGTACAAATAAAAATTCAGATAGAAAAATTATGCAACTTGTGGGAAAAATAAAATCAAAAATATCTTCTTTTTTTCAGTATTTTTAAATTTATTTCTGTAATACTGTAAGCCTCCGGGGAAACTTAGGGGCTTCTATGTTATATAATATTTCTCAACATATTTTGTTGTTTGACAATTTCTGAATCAAGAACATCCAGTTCTGTTGCAGCAGTTTTCGTTAATTTAGATTTTCTTAATTTCAAATCATCTATCTTTTCTTTTATTCGTTTTCTAGAAATTTCAGATTTTTTATTCCCTTTGTTTTTCTTTTTTTGGGCTTCTAATGCATGTCTCCATCTTGTTCTAAATCCTTTTACAGCATCTAGCATTTTTTCATTAATGTCTATGTCTTTTATTCCACTTAGAAATGAAACATAATCATACACACGCCTTTGTGAAATAATAGAGTCTTCAATGAGGTTTTCAACCAATAAGCTTTTATTGATTGAAAACCCCCTTCGACTGTTGCGTTACCATGAGAGAGGATAAGAACAATTTTTATAACCTCCCACAAATTTTCAAATTTTTTTTCTCCCTGCAAATATTTCGGAAAAAATTATCTAATCTCTGTTGCTGTGGATTAAACTGCAAGAAACTCTTGGTCTCTTTTTTTTTTTTTTTTTTTTGGCAGTATCACAGAACAGTAAAAATTCCTTTTTTGCTTTTTCTGCTGTTGTTTCAGCTACCCAGTTATTAACATGTAGAATTTCCAGACAGGTATCCATCCTTTGTTGAGCAATGGATGGATGTTGAATGATCAACTCTGGAACTAAACTTGAAATGCCACCTGTCATACCATACAACAATGGACTTTTTTCGAGTATTTTTTCGACCATCTTCAAAAGGAATTTTCAATATTCTAACTTGAAATATCCCTTTTCTTTCTCACTGATTTTTATCATGTTCAAATATTTACTTGCTGCAAAACCTATATTCACATTATTAACACTTAATAGATTGTCATTGCTTGTTAAGTCAATACTTGCTATTTTTTTTTTTTTTTTTTTTTTTTTGCAGTTGTAGCATTGTCTATAACCGACTTTTTTACACAATGCCGCAAAAGATTTTGTGTTAGTTCCAATATACTTGAATATAAGTATGGACTGAGAGGTTTGGAGGTTTGAAAATTTAAAAGAAAAGGTTGAAATTCTTCAGAAATTAGCTTAAAGAATGCTAACTTTGGTAGCATTATCGGATCCTTAACACAGTCTTCGACATTTTTTACATTCCGGCTGGCTGAGAATTTTTTTTCTCTTCTATGTACCTTTTAATGTTGTCGAAAATTAATATGGCCCACTCCACACAAGATTTTCCAGCCACCTGATTTGTTAGAACTTTTTTGGAAAAATGTTGCTACCAGATTTTTATCAGATTACAGAATTTTTCCTTGAAACTTTATTTTTGCCTGTCAGTCTTTGAATGAACTGTAGTTTTTTTTTTCCTAACTTTATGAATATGTAAGAAAAATCCTGACTTTTTCCTGACTTTATAAATATGTTAGAAAAATCCTGATTTTTTAGCTCAATTTTAGAATATCCTGACTTTTGCAGGTTTTCCTGACCGTGTAGGAACCCTGCTTAATATTAATTTTACTTGCATACACTTATAAAAATTCTACACAAAAAAATTTTAGTACATATTTATATTTAGTATATATATATATATTTTTTTTAATAATTGTAGAAAAAATTTTGAATTGTGTGTTGAAGTGGAATATTTAAAATTTGATTCTTCAGGAATTATTTCAAATAAATGAATTTTATAGTTGTGTGCGAAATTTTTTTAATTCACTAAAAAAGTTCTGGAGATATGGTAAAATACGCAAGAAGTTAAACTAACAAGCTTCCAAGCTTTGAACCGCTCTCCTGACCAAACTATGAGAACCATATTTCCTAGATGCTACACCCCACATTTTAGGGTCAGGAATCCAAATTCATCAAAAAAAGGTATTATTATTCAGAGAAAGTATGTTCTTGTATCTGATTTCGTAACTTAAAATGTCTGCACTAATTAATTAGCGTATTTGAGATCCACCCCTTTGAACTATTGAGAATGAGTCTCAGAGCGTGAAGATCTGATCATTAGATCGAAAGTTATTAAGGGTGAGCCATTTTTTTATGCTCCGTACATTAAAATTAAACTAATTTTTCCTGAGTATTTGGTTATTTATGACCAAAATAGTGTGAATGAATTTTGTATTTTAACATAGTATTAGGGAATGTAGTAAATAAATATTTAAAATTAATGCAAATTTAAAAATAATATGCAGTTAATATCAACACTGGCTACATTTTACAGCAGCCCCTCAATTATGGTTGCAAATTTATGGCAAACAACCAAAAAAAAAAGAAATTAACAGATTTGCAAAAAAAATTTACACAATTGCAAATACAGTAGAGAATCAATTATCCGGGATGCTCGAGACCATCGCTATCCCGGATGTCTGAATTTCCCAGTTTTCTGGATCGACCAAAAAGTTTCGTTAATCAATGTTTTATTGAACCCGAATTAGAAGGAAAAAGTGATATGCATAAAGTAAGAGAAAAAAAAAGGTACTCCTAACTTTAAAAAGAAAAAAGAAATGGTAGAAAAATAACATTAAAAAGAATAAAAAAATTTGCAAGTTTAGACAAGAAAAACAAGTTTAAAAAATAAAAAATTCTCGTATTTATTTTTTAAAAATAATTACAATTCCTAAGTTAACTAATATAAACAAAACCAATGGTTAAATAACGCAATATATTTCATACCTAATTATACGGGGAAAACTTATTAATCTAAATAAAAACACTTGAAAACTATCGAACCGAAACGATAGTTAAAAAGGCACTAGCATAAATATTAAAATCCGGAACAAGGCAAGATCAACGGAATTTTTAAAAAAAAAACTAATGATAAAATTTATGAATAAAAAGAATTAATTTATTGAGAGCGAAATTTATCGTGAAAAGAAAAAAATATCAACGTAGTGGAATCAGGAAAACAAAACTTCAATCTGCTTCATAAAATAATCCTATGTTTAAATTAATAAACAATTCTCCTTTTTTTTTTTGTTGATAAAAACACGATATTTAATTACAGCAGATGCGATTCCACATCAATAAAAACTTGCAAATGATACCGCACTTCCAAAGAATTAAAATTTATTCAGAAGAAAAAGATTTTATTTTTATTAATCGATGTCAAATAGATATATATTTTTCTCTTTCATCTTCTGTTCACTGATATGCATGCAATGCATTTTCCCCACCCCCTCGTAAATCAAACAGAAAACGAAATCAGCATGCCACACCCTTGAGCTTGATTGACAGCTTAAAGGAGAAAATAAAACATTCCTCCCTTCCTTGCCTACAAGGTCACGGAGGAAATGACGTTTCTCTGGGTAAACAGGGGAAAAAATTCTCCCCTTCCTTACATTTTCCTCTACTCAGCTTCAATGATGAGTTCAATTTCCGCTTTTTTTTCATAATCATTCTAGTTTAAAATGGCAGGAAAACTGATCAAAATTTTTCCCGGTTTTCTGGTTTCCCGG